CATCTCATAATCTTGTACTGCAGTTATATCTGATCAAATGCACATTATTATTCTTTAGTTTGGGTTAAACAAATCAATTTTGCTTGGTTGGAACAGCAGCTACGCTAATTATGTCTCTATTTGTTTCTCTGTTTCTGCTGGGATTGACGTCCCGTGGTAACTAGGATTTACACAAACTTCAGTCTGGATCCAGAACTCCTGAGAAGAGATGATGCCAACCCCTCAGAGGACCTCAGATGATGCCAACCCTGAAACAACATACATAACTACCACATTTTGCTATAAGTTTGATTGCATCATATAATAATTGCTGTTAATAGTGTTCATAGTCTGTTTTATTACGCCTTAAATTGTTTTTTCCGTACATTTCTGCCATATGTACATTAACTGACAGTCACCACTGATAAGCTACCACTAAATATTGTAGAAACTTAATTTGCTGTAAAGTTGCTTTGCAATGATTTGTATTGTGAAAAGCGCTGTACAAATAAACTTGACTTGACTTAATATTCATAACAGAAGCGGTGTTTCCCACAGACTTGCATTCTATTTGTGGTGGCATATATGCAAATTCATTCTCTGCCAGCAGGAGGCGCTTGTAAAGCGGGAGAGATAGAGGTTTCCCCAGTAACGGCTGCACACAAAGCAGCGCTCCGCTCACAAACACTGCTCAGGCATTATAGGCAAGATGAAATGAAAATGACATCCATAATTTTCTGAAGACATTCGGTTTCCTTCAGAAATACAGTGATATAAAAACACCCGCACCGGGTTTCGACCTCGACACGTGCAGTGCTCATGTTTATTCAACAGTCAAAGCTTTTTGGAAAATCAATTTGTGGCGGTCAGTTTTGATATTGTGTCAGGTGCCACAAATAAATCTATGTGTGGGAAACACTGATCTAAATATACAAAATTAAAATGCAACTTACCTGCTTGAACTCTTTAATTTGATCTGGGTGTCTTTTAAAGTGTTTTGTTAGTTTGGCGTGTTTCCTCATTTTGATGTCGCCACGTCTCAGTGCTTTAATGAAGAGATCAAGAACCGGGTTACTCTTTACCACCGGTACTTAAAAAAAACTGGTACCGTAACGTTTTCATTTTTTTTTGTACCAAATTGGTACCGAAGTACCAGGTCTTTTGACAACAGTAGTTCCATCACTGATATATTTCTTACAAGCTATCTCATGCTTTTTGTGGGTTGACCCCTGCTCCTCTCTTTCTCCATTGCAGTCTTTCTTTCGTCCTTTTCCTTTTATGTGTGTGTGTATATATACAGGTATATATATATATATATATATATATATATATATATATATATATATATATATATATATATATATATATATATATATGTGTATATAACAAGCAGTACATTTTCTATTTTACAAAGACATTTTAGCAAGGTCTCTAATTCTTTTTTGCATTTGATTTTGATTGATTTGTATAATCAGTGACTGATTAAATTGCCAAACTAACATGGATTCTGACTAAGTTGAGACATAGTCCTTTGTCCTTTTGTTAAGTTTGTCCTCAGTGACAAAGCTCCTACGACAAAACCCTGCCGTTTACTTTGATTAATGTTTTAATGTTAATGGTTCATATTAGATTACCCTAATTTATAAATTAAAGTATTGCTGGCTTAATCTACAAGTAACATCTAATAATTAGTGGTTCCAATTATTATTGTAAATATTTATGATTAAAAGCTTTCCCTAAACCTCTAACTTTTAAATATTTACACTCGTTTGGGGTTGGTAATATTTTTTTTTTTATGTTTTAGGAAGAAGTCTTTTAAGCTCACCAAGGCTGCATTTATTTGATCAGAAGTACAGTAAAACGGTAATATTGTAAATATTATAGACTCTACTGTCACGTTAGATCAATTATCTTTTAGTTTTGTAGTGAATACAAGTTAATTTGTATTCAAATCAATTGTTCCCGTTTTACTTTTTCTGGATTCCATCTTCAAATTCCATTTCATTTTTACCAAATTCTGTGTTTTCCATTTTAATTGTTTAATTAAATGTTAATTTTATTTATTTGTTTATTTTAATTTTTAAATACTGTTGTGTATTTAATTTTTTATGGTAAATAAATGAAGGCATAAAACATTAACTTCTCTTTTAATCAAATGAAAATTAAACAAACCCTTCCTTTTTGGCAAACAAAGTGATGTTCAGCAGAGGTTTATGGTTAAAATGAATGATTATTCCTTAATGTTTTAATAATAATGTTATTAGTAGTAGTAGTAGTATCATTACATTGAGTAATATAGTTGTCACATTTTCTTCAAATTAAACCAAACTTTTATTTTGACTGGTTGCTGTGAAGACCTTTACGTTTGTGTTTGTATATATGATATGACGATAGTTTTTCTCAAAGGAAATTGTAAAATGCTCGTGAAGTGACTCTCAGAGCAGTTCTAAAGATTATTTTCATGTGTTCATGTACTCATATATTGAGGGTAGACGCAGAAATCACAGCGAGCATCACACACTCTTCAGTATGTGTAGAGTAAACTAAACCACACATCTGCTCCATTCATTCACACAGAGACATACAGAACATGCGGGATTCATATTTATTTCATATTTCGTATTTTTGCAGAGTACAAAATACAAAAAAATAAATAAAAAATACAGATCCATAAATCAGCACATCTACGGACCATAAACAACCCAGAACACTTTACACTCTCAGAAAAAAAAAAAGTACAAAAGCTGTCACTGGGGTGGTAACTTTTCAAAAGGTACACCTTTGTACCTTATTTACCGCTAAAGGGTGCATATTAGTATCCAAATGTTACATATTAGTACATGTTTGAAAAGGTACAGCCCCAGAGACTGCTTTTATACCATTATTTCTGAGAGTGTAGCTTCAGAAATACTAGTTTTCTGTATTATGTTTACCAGTAATTGTAAAAATTGTCATAGACGTTTTATGTGCTAGATACACTCTCCATTTTCCAGACGCTCATCATTGTTTGCTTTCTACAAGATGTGAGGAAAATTTTGATTTTTAGTGTTTGTATTTGAGATTAGGTGCGTCTCCTTTCATCACAACATCAAAGAAGCAGAAGTAAAAATTCTCACCTCAGTAAAGAGATTTTGAGGAAACAAACACTTACAAGTTAATTTACCACATTGTCAACAACAGTCCCAATGTGCCAACCCTGAAGCTGTCCTGTCCCTCTTGAAGCTGCTCTGTATGGTACATTTTCTGCTTAAGGAAAGCAGCTATTCTCAATAATGTTGAAGCTCAGTATTCTGGGTCAATCTGTCTAGTGCAGGCAGGCCATATTAATCAAGCAGGATTTAACCCACTATCACAACAACCAATCAGGGTGTCTAATTTTAGAAATCTTTTTTTTTTTTTTTTTTTTTGCGCTTGGAGCGGAGTAATCTCGAAAAGGAGAAGGGTTGTTATACTGAGTGAGTCATAGCGAGCATTTTGATTGTCTGAGCTTTCCTCTCCATCTGGAGTAAGCTGAAACCGAGGTGTCATTAATAGCTGTCTGACTGTCTCTGCTGGCTCCTGCCTTACTTGTGTAGCTGTATAATGTCACAATATGCTGTTTTGTCACAAGGGAGAGCCAGCCTTTAGAAAAAATATATACTGTTATGATATCATTCTTTGTTAATGCTGATGTTCTGTTGTGATTGACTTTGCTGTTTTTATATTTGGGGTCCCAGAGACTACAATGACAATTGGTAAAGGTGATTTTGAAATTAACTGTTAATTTTACCTAATATTCTTTAAAAGTTCCTCTGACCTAATCAACACACAGGTCAGGGTTCCTCAAATCTTGCCCTGAAGGGCCAATGCGCTGCAGAATTTAGCTCCAACCCTGATCAAACTCGCCTACCTGTTATTTTCTAATGATCCTGAAGACATTGATTAGCATGCTCAGGTGTGTTTGATTTGGGTTAGAGCTAAACTCTGCAGGAAAGTGGATCTTGTGGACCAGATTTGAGGATCCCTGGTCTAGGTTCTCTGAAACCCCAAACAGAACATGACTCGTTTTGATTGAAGTTTATATTGATCTCTTTATTATTTTATTTGTCAGCATTGAAGACATCATGATGGGCATTCACATCAGATCTACTTTGCCAGTTTTGGTTCTGTTGTTCTTGCATCTGGCAGCAGGGCAAGATGAACTGATTGTCTCCACTGACAAAGGCAAAGTCAGAGGAATGAGGCTTCCTGTCCCGGGTGGTTCAGAGAATGTGGTGACCTTCCTGGGGATCCCCTATGCCAAGCCTCCATTGGACCTGCTTCGCTTCAGACGACCAGAGCCTGCTGAGGTGTGGAACGGAATACGAGATGCCACACGGTACTCCAATTCATGCTTCCAGGATCAGGATACATTGTACCCAGGATTCCCTGGAGCTGAGATGTGGAATCCTAACACCAGAATTAGCGAAGACTGCCTGTACCTCAATGTTTGGACTCCTTCAACCGTTTTCCAGAACAGAGCCAAACCCTTAGTCCCAGTTATGGTGTGGATCTATGGTGGAGGCTTTTCCACAGGTACTGCATCCCTGGACGTGTACGATGGGCGTTTCCTCAGCCATTTGCAACATGTGGTGGTGGTATCCATGAACTATCGAGTAGGAGCATTGGGCTTCCTATCTCTACCTGAAAGTAAGAGCATTAAAGGTAATGCTGGTCTATTTGACCAGCGCCTGGCTCTCAGCTGGATGTCAAGGAACATTGATGCATTTGGGGGTGATCCATCTTCTGTAACCTTGTTTGGGGAGAGTGCTGGTGCTGGCTCTGTGGGACACCATTTGCTTTCACAGGGCAGCCATGGACTATTCACCCGCGCAATTCTCCAGAGTGGCAGTCCCAATGCTGTGTGGGCGGCAGTGGAGCCAGCTCAGGCCTGGAACCGTGCCTTGACTCTGGCTCAGCTTCTGAACTGCCCACTTGGACCATCTGCTGATGAAATGGAGGCTTGCTTAAGGGCAGTTGAACCTGAGAAGATAGTCAGTCTTCAATTCGATGTCATTTCTGATCCCATGATAATAAGTGTGCCTTTTCCGCCAACAGTGGATGGAGAATTTCTTGTGGACATGCCGAGTGTTTTAATCCAGTCGGGGCGTTTTCTGAAAACTGAACTACTTTTGGGATTGAACAGGGATGAAGGGACTTACTTCCTTGTTTATGGCGCACCTGGATTTGGCATCCATAACCAGAGTCTTATCAATCGAGACCAGTTCTTCACAGGTGTATCCTTGGGCCTCCCTGGTTTCAGTGACATAGCCAGAGAGGCGGCTGCTTTTCAGTATACTGATTGGACAGATGAGCTGAGCAAGCCAAAAAACAGAGAGGCCCTAGGCTGGTTGGTGGGCGACTGCTATTTTTCATGCCCCTTACTGGATTTTGCCCGTAGGTATGTCGAGAATGGTGGCAGTGCCCGATTGTTCCTCTTTAACCATCGCTCCAGCTTCAACCCCTGGCCTCGGTGGATGGGTGTAATGCATGGGGATGAGATCCCATTTGTTTTTGGGATTCCTTTGAACCAGACCTTTGGATTCTCTAAGGAGGAGGAAGCCCTGAGCAGGAGGATCATGGAGCACTGGAGTAACTTTGCTAGAAGTGGGTGAGTGTAAATCTGACACAACATCTACTTTATGAGCTTATGTTCTATCCAGATTCACCCAAACATAAACATTGTTATCATTTGCACACTTTAATGTAATTTCAAACACATATAACTTTCTTTCCTCCATGCACTGTGAGGGGAAAATTTGCAAAATGGTATATTTATGGTATACTGTAACATCTTGCCATTCGAGTAGTACCCTTCAAGGTAGCGCTGCAAAAATATTGATAATCGGAGTTTGAATGAGATATGAAAGCTACTGTGAAGAAGAATGTTGTCAGTGAATAACAACTTGTTCGATACATTAAAAGCATCATGTGATATGTAGCATCATATGACTTGTCATATAAACATGGGCGACCCTTATGGTGCTGTTTTTATCCCTTTTGAAGCATCTGATATAATGTTGCATGGTGTTGGAATGATGGATTTTAATTTTTTTGCTGAAATATTCCAATAATACAGAATATTATACTCACATTTGTTTTTGCAAGACTATTTTATGTATTTGTACATATTTACTAAAAACACTGAGGGGGATTGTTTACATTTATTGCTGAGAAAAGTATAAACCAGTGCAGATGTGGAGTTGTTGTTTAATCCATAATATCTTGATGAGGCAGGCTTTCATCTGCTCACACTTTTTCAGTTAATGTGTAAAAACCATAAATACATAAATTAAAAAAGCAAGTCTTGGTGTTGCTGGGAGGCTTGTGTTGATTAGCATCCTCATTTGTTTGGCATAAATTATGGAGAAGCAGAGACAGCCTTTATTGTGGCTGTGAGCAAGCTTAGATTCTTTCAATTAACACTTCATACACTCTTCACGCTGCAGGGAAACAACACGATGCTAATACATCAATGAACATGATCAGTAAACAAGATCACAAAAGAACACGCTGAAGTTTATCTTATGGCGAAATGGGCTGATTCACTTATGAAAAGTATTGAGTGCAATTCCTTAAATGACTTATGAAGACTTTGCTGGGATTGTGCATTAAGATTCAAAGCCTCTTGCCGTAAAGGACTGCAAGGTGTTTTTTACAAGAGCGTGTAAATGCCGTAGCTATTGAGTCATTGCATTGATTTATTTTTTTTGGCTTGAGTTGTTTTAGGGCACTTATGTATTGTATTGACATTGATGTAACTTGGCTCCATACATAAACTGACCTTTTGGTTGATTTCCTTGCTTGACGTTTCAGGGATCCGAGCGTGGAGGGAGCGGATTGGCCGCCGTTCACGCTGGAACATCAGCAGTACGTCACGCTTAACACTGGCCTGTCACAAACACTCCGGATGCTTCGAGCCCAGCAGTGCAAGTTCTGGGACAGTTTCCTGCCAAAACTGCAGTATGTCACAGGTGAGAGTCACAGAATGATAACAGATGTCCACCCACACCTCATAAACAAAGAAAATCTTGACACGCTCGCTTCTGCTTGTTTCTCCAGCTCTGCCTGGCCAGCGCAAGTGTCATCTTCTAGTCTCTCGTAGACACATGTAGTGCAGGCCTGGCTAGCTAGTGCAGCTTAATGCAGGACTGGAGGTGGCAGAGTGTTTCAAAGGCACTGCAATTATTTACATTTAGATTTATGCATTTGGCAGAAGCTTTTAAAGGGTTGATCATGAGGAAAATCGTCCGATTCCGATCCCTGGCTGATCAATCAATGCATCTCTACATTATATGATGATTATTATTATAATTTTCTTATTTTTATTATACTTTGCTTGTTCATGTGACAATTCATGGCATTTAAGACTGTATATTACGTACTGTCTCTTGCACATGAAAAGAAAAAAAAATGGGTTAATCTATGTTCAATTGTAAATTAATTCTGTCATCTATGATGAGTGTTGGATGTACGCAAATGTACATTTCCTTCAGCCTGAGGCTTATTCATTTCCTTTTGGTGTGAGGGCTTTTACATTTGCCAAACATTTTGCCAAAAAAACTTTTTTATATTAAAAACAAACAAGCAAGCCCAGCCCAAATTTAAAAAGTAACTAAAAAATGACGTAATGCGAAATTTTTCCCAACACTGATGATATGGTAATTGTTTTTGTGATGTGCGAGCTGTGAGTTTGTCACTCACGCTTATGCCCCCAATATTCAAGATACACAGGCCCAATGAGTTTTTCTCATATTTATATTGTATGTAGTTATAGCACAGTCACATGACCAGAGTGCTGTTTTTCCCAAATATCAGCACGATTGCAAATGTGATGTTTTTTTATACAACAGGTAAATAAACAGTAAGGTAACATAGTGAGGTATACACAATTGTATACATAATGTTGTCAGTATTGTTTGTTTTTCCCTTTTCACCAACAAAATTTTCAATTTCAGTCTCCTTGCATTACTTGTGCAGTTGAAAATGCGATGTGTGCAACCTGTGCATATCTTTATTTATTCATGGATTGCTATGGAATGACAATATAAAATTAGAAGCACAATTTGGCCTGGAATCCAGGAGCTTGAGATTGAAAGTTGTTTTGTCCCTGCCGTGAATAGCAAGTATTTGTTAAACACATTCCGAATGTATTCATAAGGACACATGGATATGTGTAATAGAGAAATATGTTGCAGAAATGCTGCTATGTAAAAACGCTATCGATATAAATTCAGCGTGTATAGGTTTGAATGCTTCAGTCTTGGCCGTGCATCCATTTGATCCATTATACATGTATCCCACCATCAGGGTGTTTTCAGGTGAAGTAGGAAGATATTCTATTTGTTTTGGAGGACTTTGCTAAAGATCACCAGTGGTAGCTATTTGAAGAGAAACTGAGAATAAAAGTGATTGAGTCTGAAGTTATTCAGGCGCTCGTGACTAAACGCATGCCTTTTTCTGACATCATATTCCATAATGTAAAAGAAAAAGACCTTCTCCAGTGAAAAGTTGTTTTTTTTCTGCACTGAAGAGCGTTTTGCTGTAGTGCCTCGCTCATTTAAACCTTTTATCAACTAAACATGTAGATTGTGGTCTGTTTCTAGCCCTGCGGTGAGAGATGTGAGCTTTTAAGTGCGTTACTAAACATAAGGTGGGTGAGCAAGTCACGGCATTATGTACTGGAAGCGGTTGCTTGTGCGTTATATTATATTTAAACGCCTTTTGGCACACTTAAAATCATCTTGTTAACCTTGGGCTGTCTTCACAGCTGTCATTACTGATTTAAGCAGTGAATATAGACTGATGCTTTCTGGAGGTCTTTGGAAGGTGACGCTCAATAGTGTAACGTCTGGAAACTCCCGAAGTTCTGGCTGTCAGTGTTCTCGGTGGTAGAAAATGGAAGAGAATTGTAGTTCCAGGTAGTGCGACCGTAGGGAGCAGAATTGAATTTGACACTGAAATGGAATGAATCGATTCTGATTTGAGTCTAGGTGAAGAGATACATGGAGAGGTGCAGGAGAAAGCCTCGTCTTGTTTATGTATTGGAGGTCAGGCACCAGTGACTGCGCATACAAATGCACATATGCGCAAATTGAATTATCGTCACTGCGGGCAATGTGCAGTCTTTCTGGCGCTTGTATTTGCAGACGGGCCTACTCTTTTGAGACTGCTACGCTTATCCACAAAAGAAAGAGGATTGCTTTTTTTAATGTAGGGGCATACAAACGAAGAAAGCTTGGCTCATGAATTTTAATTAGTGATGCAGCACCCAGTCGTAGTAGCTGATTTGCTGAAATGCTTCTGAGTGGGTCATCTCGAGATGGTAAACTCCATTTGGCCTCTGCTTTTATACCAAACACTAGTCGGTAAGGTAAACAGTGATTTATGGAGTCTGAACCAAGTCGACACCATGAAATTATTTCAGATACAATCCCCCTGGAGCATCCTGGGATTAAGTGTTTTGATCAAGAGCACAGTGGTGATCACATACTGACAGACTTTCATGTGCGCTTTGTGTTTATTTGTCCTGAAGCTCATGGCTGCGGTTAAATGCACTTGCATCTCTGGATAATTTTATGATACGAAATTGATGGTAACACAGTCAGTTTTGTTTTCAGAACAGGACAAAATATCTGATATGTCGAAATAGATCTGTGCATTATTGTGAATGCAGCCTATAAAAGCTGCCACCGTCTATGATGTCATCAGTCATAATCAAACAGCACTTTATATTTGCTTGTATGTTTTGAAGCTATAATTAGTTGGTTAAATTCTTAACAATCGTTTTGATTTATTATAAATGTGTAATTATTTTAAAAAGTAGCCTGCTTATATAATTTTATACAAATGCACAAAATAAATTTAAATGACAATATAGCCATGTGCATATAATAATAGAAATTGATAGTAATGTTGATAAAACACACTAAGGATTAATGAGCTGTTGGGCTCATGTATATTAATCATGTTGTCTGCGTTCTCTCGAACTGATTTGCTGGAATCAAAACAAGGATGATCATAGTAGAGCGCCAGCCAATGACTTTGCTGTTTGCGCATTAGTTCCGCCCACTACCAGAGAAACCGGCAGTATCTTATGGTTGTTCTTAAAAGCTGAAGAATTCCAAATGAACCCTGTTATTTTGACAGGAAAATACAACATATTTGTACAACATTCAAATGTTAATAAATGTTTAAGTGCGTATTTCTAAAATTCTGGTATATTGAAATACTGGCAGGACTACCATATTTATTGTTTAAAGTTACAGAGATGAAAAGTTACTGCAAAACAGGAATGACTCATATGTTGATTTCCCTGTTTAAAATATTAACTAGAAATTGTTGGAGAAATTAGTTGACTCATACTAAGCACAAATGTGCTTGTCCTTGATTTTCTAGTGATTCTCTCACAAGGAGCTTTTCATGATTGTGAGAAGTCATAAAGTTATTTCACTTGATTTCATTCTAAATAAAGAACACTATTATATTGCCCCCTCTCTCTCTCTCTCGCTCTCTCTCTGTGTGTGTGACACAGATCAAGTGACATTCTGTTGCCATGCAAGCCGTGAGTCTCTATTCACAACTATATTCTTTCAACTATAGCACTTGTCCTTGAAAGAAAGGGAACTAAAATAGTAACATTTTAATAGTGTTTTCAGCAGCACTAAAAGATTAGAAAATTATGCAAAGAAAATGAATATGAATAACCGTACAGCAGCTAATTATACGTGTGAGTGTGTGT